AGGCGTCGGCATAAAGGAGGAGACCTCCGGAGATCAGAGCGCCTCCTCTCCACGTGTCAGATGTAAAACACCAGCGGATAGTTTCAAATCAGAGGAGTGGGAGGAATATTTTACCAAAGGAATGTTTTAAGAACGTGAAATATAGAGATCTGTAGATATTTGTGGTTCAGATAACAAACCTTTTGTTGTTAATGACATTTTTCTGCCTGATTTTCTGTAATTCGTGGAATATTATGTTTACACTGTTTAGAAATTCACTAAGATCAAAACAATGAGTTTGCACATCTGCATATCAGTCTCACACATTAGCTGACAATAAAAGGAGGATGTGAAACTGGACAAAACGCCTTCAGTGAGATGCTGAAGGTTTCACAAGAGTGGAAACCTCCTGAAATCCTGACACTCCTGCACTTCATACATGTTTCCTCTTTACATGGTTTTGTTCAACTGCAGCAGCCTGAAATATGGACCAGCGGTGTACATCACTCCAGTGATGAATAGAGTCATGCTGCCCTCCATGCTGTCTTTCTCCTACCATTTTTTTCTATAATCTTTTTACTGCTGTAAACACCAGTATTTTCCCATTGTGGGACAATAAAAGGATTTTCTATTCTATTTTATTTTATTCTAGCAGACACACAAAGACTTTTGGTTCTGGCATTTAATGAAATCAATCCTGTGCAGCGGAGGAAACTGGAAGTTCACTGAAGGGCAGTTGATCTCCCTGATTCATCCTTTTTTAGCTCCGGTTCAGAGAAGAAGAACCAGGATCTGAGACATTAAAGAGTTCAACCAACAGCAGCAAGAATCATGGAGTTTAGATGATTTCATTAAAAAAACTAAAGAAGGATGCAATCCTTGGAGATTTTTTTTCTTTTTATTTATAGAACAGCCAGAACCTAAGCACTCAGTCTGAGTCTGTATTCATAAGGAAGAGACAGATCCCTGTGAGGTTCCTGGAACAAAAACTAGGCTGGGCTTGAAGAGCAGAACTTTGCTTAGGGTCACATCGGCCACTAAAGTACTAAAAGCCTTCAGCTCTTGTGTTTTGACACTAAAACAATACTGTGTAACTTTTACCTATTAACAGAGCTAGGCCTGTAGCTTCCTGGTTTAGCGCTCCTGAAGGCCGCTAGTCAGTATGCATTGTCTCTAAATGAACCTTGATGGTCTGGAATCTGGTATTAGACCAGTTTGAAAAACAGACTGAGAAGTTATAAAATTAACACTTAAGACAAGGAAACTTTCTTCCTTCAAGAATAAATCCTCATCATCCTGTAACTTATTCTGAATGCTGCTTCACATCATTTAGTTTCTGTTGCTTTTTTCCCAAATTCACTGGAATCAGAGGATCAGGTTTGTTTGGTTTGTGACAATAAATCAATATCAACACATCTTGCAATCTAGTTTTATTCAATAACCGATAAATGGCATGCTTCCAGTATTTCGATAGACGTTGCATTGTTAGGTGACAGTGTTTGACACTGACTGAGGGAGCTGCACTCTGCAGCTACAAGCAGCTCAGCTGCAGCAGGGTAAGTTTTAGCTACACGAGCACCTATGATAACGTGAAAACATGACCAGCTTTGAATGACCAGTACACTGCAGAAGTCATTCTGGCAAATGTCTCAAACTTTAGTGTCTGATGAATGAGGAAAAGTAGAGAAATGATGATGCTCACAAAGCAGCAGCTTTAACCTACAGTCAGAGTAGAAGAGCTGAGAGCAGCCTTTCAGTAAGAGCAGCGGGTGACCTAGTCACCAGCGACAGGGAGCCACCCTTGGACATTATGGGATGTGTAGACTGATTCATTTTGTTTTAACTGAGCTGATCCTCACTGAGATAAAGGCTTGGTTCAAACATTACTGCTGTCAACACTTATGGCTGATTGTGAATATAGTGTTTCAGGCTTAGGTGTGTTTGTCTTCTTGAAGGTATGAAAGTTAATCATGGAAAAATAAAGGCAATAAGGAGGCAATGTCACCACTGCACATTGCCTCAGTACTATCGGCTCATTTGTGCAAGCAGATATTCATCTAGGTGACCACAAATAATGTAGTTATTGTACTAAAAGTACTTTTAGTATAATAACTTTCTATCCTTAAATCACTAAAGAATGCTAAACAGCATATGTCATTTTTTTATGGGACAATTTGATTCTCCGTTAAATAACTTGTGTGACATCATCAGACATGCTCAGAGTAATCTGGCAAAATATGATTGAACCATGTTTATCTTTTTATTTGGTTAATTCTTTTTATAGATTGCTCACTGTATACCATAAGGATAACACGAAAGAAAAAAATAAAACTAAAAAAGACTATATATGTTTAAGTCCAAAGCCAAAAAAGTTAGCTCCCGGTAGTAGCATAGGATCCCATTTCAGGTACAGATCGGGCACAAACAGATAAAACAGAAAGGATTTTAAGGCATTTATTTATACATTATTAACCTTTGACACATTGTATTCTATAATGTTTACTATTTTTAGGGAGCAAAAAGGGTAATTTAGTTGTTGTTTTTTTTAAGTAAAAGAGCGTGACCCGGATGTATTACTGGTTGGGCAAATGAGCAGTGGACTGAAATATGAGGAGGAAGAGATGATCACCTGGTTAATGTGCATTTTATCTGTTCAGCTTGGAAGTGCAGAAAAATAGTTGTCTTTTTAAACAATAATTAAAAAAATTTTATATAGCAGGATTTTCATGGAACTGGCTTAAAGACGTTCAGCAGTTTGTAGAGGATTCTAATGTGGCCTTTCTTCTCAGGCTTTTATATTTTTTAAATCAATATTAAATTGTTTTTTTTTTTTTAAGAAAATGGCTCCATATCTCATTGGCTGTTATCCAGACTTGCAACTGAAAAAAGTTATATTTTTCATGACTGTCAGTGAAATCGGGTCGGTTAAGGCTGGTTCCCCTGACATACTCTGTCCTTCATCTCTTCTCAAACCTGCAGATCTTTTGCTGAGTCACCCTGGCAGGATTTAGGTGTAAAATCGTGAGTCAGTAAAATTCTTTCTATTACACAGAATAAAAACTCTGAACTTTACAAAAAGGCAGCATATTAAAAATATATTAAGGTCAGATTTTGCATTAAACCACTGACTCTGAAACCAAAGCCTTCAGACCTTCAGGGACTTCTCCACCTGGGAACCAATCAGCCTCCAGCACCTGAGTCCATATCAGCCCAACCGGAAGTGCAGCGGATCCTGAGAAATTCATAAACACTAAATAGAAAAAGCATCGAAGTGTGAAACAAAACTTCTTCCAGCTTCTGGGATAAAAGAAACATGATGCCATAACAACATGCTGGTGTTTCCAAACACAGAAAGGGCTCAGCTCTAATAAATCTCTATTTAACAGCAATCTGTCATCGTTAGTGTTCCCAGAAAACATGGCAGCACAATTATTGGCTACATTTCCAAAATAAATCTGTGTTGATGGGAGCTAAATAAATCATAATCCCCTCCAGACATTACAGTCTTTTTAGCAAAGCATGACTTTTCTTTTCCCTCTCACATCATTTTCCATCTGATTAAAAATATAGAACAGAGGAAACCTCATAGAACGATCTGTACCAAGTTTACCAACAATGATCTAGAACAGGCATCCCCAAACTCGGTCCTCAAGGCCCCCTGTCCTGCAGGTTTTAGAGGTTTCCTTGCTCCAGCAGCTGATTTTAATTGAAAGCTGATTAACATGAGGGCAAAAAAAAAGCGGGGATCCAGGTGGGAAAAGGGTCCCAGAGGTCTCGCGCACCTCACTCTTCCAGCTGGTTCAACTTCAAGAGTCGTTTTCCACAATGGCGATAATACAAACAAAACAAGCCAGTAAGATACCAAACAGGAAATACGCATAGTGTAGATCGGATGTAGTTTTCTCTAATCAGAGGCCTCCTGTCTGCAGCACTGTCTACGGTCACCTACAATGTTGGAGAGGTGGACCAGAGTGTCTGTGGAAGGGGCCGAGGCATATCTGCGTTAAGTGCGACACACGCAGAAGACCTGCTTTCTCAGCATAAACCAGCCTTAAGACCTTTGACCTCTTCTGCTGAACTAAAACCATGAAAGCGCTATAGGATAACAGCTAATGGTATGTGTGGGAGTTGGTAAAAGTTTGTTTTGGCTCTTTGTCGGCGAATACATACATGACGTCGGATGTTTAGAAGATATAAATACAAAGTTACATCTTACAAAAATACAACTTGGAATCAGCAGTTTAGTAAAATTGAGTAAAGATCAGAAATGATTACTTTTCAGAGATTTCAGAGAACAAATTACCAATTTACAAGAATAAATAAGAAACTTATAAATATAAATCAGAAATTTCCGAGTGCGAATCAGAAATATACAAGTTCCACACAGAAATATATCAGAACAATAAGAAATTTAGGCGTTTGAATAAAAAAATTACAATTTCAAATCAAACATTCATTAGTACAATTCTACCCCCAGATTTAACTGTTAAACTATTTACCAGTTTGTGGCAGTAATGCATCTGAAGCTTGTTTTCTAGGGACAATTAAATGAAAAGAAGAAGCAGACGACTTTATTGACTTCTTCCTCTTCTTCTCGTTAAAACACCCCTCAAATGCATTACCACCATCTGCTAGTAAGGCGCTATGCAGCTTTATCAGAGGATGCAGGTATGAACTTAATACTGTGTCATTTGAACTTGAACTTTATTGCTTGTAAACTTTTATTCTCACTGATGAAACAACAAAGAACAAATAAATATCTTTTACTCCATGCAGTGCTCTCTAAGAGGGACTGAGCAAAAGCAGGAGAGCAGCACAGAAGGATGATGAGGCTCTGGAGGAAGATGTGGCTGCAGGGACCTTCTAATGCTGATGCCCGCTGTAAAATCAGAGGTTCAAGTGTTTGATTGATCAAATGAAGGCTTTCAGTCATAAAGCTTTGGCCTCAGAGGCGACAATCCAGCCTGGAGCGTTCGACTGGAAACCGAAAAGGACCTGCGCGTCTGATCAGCTGGACTTACCTGAAGCTGCAGCTGCTCCAGGATGCTGCAGGACACCCTGCGGGTCCATGGGGGTTGGTGGGGAAGGTCCGGGACAGTTTTTCCCTCCAGGATGACAGGGGATCACAGTCCCAACGTATTCAACAAAGGTCCCTGGAAAGTTTCCCTTCTCCTCACTCCTTTCATTGACGCCATGCAGCCAGCCTGCGGGGCTCCGTTCATCACCCTCCTGGTACTCCAGTCTAGCTCCAGATATTATTGAGGCTTTGGGGACGGTAAGAAAGTCACCCGGCTGCAGGCTGAGGTCATCCTTGTGCTCCTTTCTGTATTCAAAGAGTGCGCGGTACCGGAAACCTTCAGATGCCATGTCATGCACAGCTGGAAACAGATTATCCCTGAGATAAGAGCAACTTCATAAAAAATGTCAGACGTTCCTAAAGTGATCCTGGAAATGCTGCTCCTTTCTAGGATCTGGGCTGAGCAGGACCAGCCGGTAAACAGGATTCAGTCCTGAGGTAGAAGCTTTGCTCCCAAATTGAAAGAAAATCTAACTTCTCTAGATGAGAGGAATACTGCAGATAGGCTGGAAAGTTTCCATCATGTCTGACTGGTCTGTTCCAGTGGGAGGCCTGAAGGTTTCCATCAGATGAGGTGTTACTGCAGACTGAAGCAGGACATCCAGAGGATAACCCAAACACTCAATGATGCACACTCACACACATCCACACACACCTGAGGAAAACCAGCACACTGCAGGATTTGGACTCCTATCCTCCTGCAGCTTCCTGCTCCTGAAAACTGAAATATAAGTTCAAATATTAACCTTTTATTCTTTAATCCGGTTAAAATGACAGATCATGCATCATTAATGTAGCTCAGGGCTGAATGTGGGAGACAGGAATAGAAGAAACTCTGAGTAAACTGGAATGACCTTCTGAGTCATGAAAAATGCAGCAGGATCCTCCCAGCAGGTCAGCCAGGCATATTCAGAAAATGCGCCAGTCTGCTTCCCACACACATATGACGCAAACTTACCGCTGAAAGGACGCCGCTCTTTGCGCACTGTTCAGCCGCCGCCGTGCGCCCACCGTCCGCCAGAGCCGCGCCTGCAGCCCGCAGAGATCCAGGTAGATCCGGGGGAGAGTGGTCCTGCAGACGGGCAGCCTGCTCGGTGCTGCGCGGAGCCGCGATGCTGATGTCAGTGAATCCCTCCCCCTCCTCCTCCTCCCTCCTTTTCCTCCCCCTGTCTGCAGAAACACCAGCGGGGTCGGGACGGGACGGCTGCAGCATCTGTTCAGTCACCTCATCACCGCTGGATTCAGCCTCCAGTCTGGGTTATTTCATCAGCAAGAAGAGGAAAGATGGATTTCATTGCTTCAGGTTCTATGTTAAAATGGATGATTAAAAAATCCGAGAAAGGTTCAGTAAAGTGCGCACATGGCGCAGCAGACATTTGCGTCACAGGTGCGCACTTTGGCTGAGTGCGCAGAGAAAAAAAAAAAAAGCATGAGCACGAATCAGACATCTCTGCCGCATGAGGGGAACTTTTTCCTGCAAGGTACAAATCAGAAATTAGACTTTATGCATTTTAGTGGCATTATAGCCCCAGAAGAAAAAAAAAAAAAGAATAAAATCAGATTAATCTTCAACGGCAAACATATTTATTGGTATTATAAAAGTGTAACCAAGTTTTGAAAACTCCCAGCAAAGAAGGTAAAGAATATATGCAAAAAAAAACAAAAACAAAGAGGCACTTTGTGAATACATTCTAGAACAGGGGCTACTATCCAGCAACTTTCTGATGCTGCATCCCATTTTTAACACACCTGAATCAAATGAGTGGCTCCTTATCATGCTTCTGCTGGGCTAAATGAGGGGAATGAGCCTTTCAGGTGTGTTAGAGAAGACATGCATCTAAAGGCTACAGGATGGCAGCTCTTGAGGACTGGACTTGTGCACCCCTGTTCTATATTTAGCATGAAAATGTGAAGCATTTCAAAATATGACTGTGTTCAGTCTGAGGAGTGTTTCGGTTTAATCTGTTCACCAGCCATGAGCAAGGTCAGTGTTTCTATTGGTTGTTTATGCAGAAAATCAAATTAGAACTTTTTTTTTCACAAAGATGAGCTTCAGATTCTTGGAAAATCTGTAGATATAATTTCTCCAAACCATTTAGGCTGCAGGGAACAACGCTTGGATAGGAGACTCAAATTGTTTAACTGGTTTAAACTCGATGGGCTGATGACACCAATTTCCCCTGCAGTGCTTTTTTTTTGTGGTAAATCTCCTCATTGTTGCTGCTTCCTCTCCCATCTGGCTGCTATTTATGCAAATGAAAAGTGGCAGAAATCGATTGAGAGCTGGCAGGGATTGCTCTCCTGCGTTTCTCTAATCAAAAGAGCGGTGATGATATGAGGGGGAAATTCCTCAGAGGAGGATGAGGCCAATCTCTTCAGATTAAATGTGACAGTTTCTCTGGTTTTATCAGGGAGGGCGCTTACCAACTCAAACAGCAGGATTCTTATGGGAGCTTCGTGAGTTTAGTTGATTGCAGAGTTTTCAGTGTTTGTCCTGACTCCCTGTGACTGACAGTCACCTTTGATACAGCTGCTTAACCTTTGAACATGTTGGTGGGAACTTTAAATGAGACTGCAAAGCTTTGGAATAAGAGGGATGAAGTAATCTACTAGATTATTCAGTCTGGTGTTATAATCCTTCAGTCAGAGGAAGCAAAACACAAAAGAAAAACATAATGCCTCAGATGGAGGCAGTGTGACACCGGTGTTACATGTTACATCATATATTGTGACCCTAGAGGTCATATGTATTTCACCATAGACTTATTTACGTTAGGGTAGGAGTCCTGTGATGTTTTGGCTTGAAGATGGCAGAGTTTTAAAGAGAATCCGGAACAGCAACTTTTGAGTTAGGATATAACGAAATAAGGTTTCAACACCGGCAGCCATTAAACTTACAGGACATCAGATGTTTTATGTATGAAAATACAAGTCTAGAGGCTATGAATACAAGTTATAAAGTTAAAACTTCACAAAAATACAAATACGAAGCACAAATGTTAGAATATGAATCTAAAAAAGCTGTTGCTGTTATGTTTCTGGCCTGCATTTGTGATTTCATTCCCCTCTCCCTTCTGCTCTGACTGTTCATTTGGCCCTCCTGTGCTGCTGCTGCTCAGCCTAATTATTACTGCTTCCTCTCACCTGTTTGCCAGCCTTCTTAAACAAGCCTCTGACTAGTTGGCAGTGCCAGATTGCCTGAAAGCCTTGGTTAGTAAGCATCCAGCCTTTTTCTCTGTCTGTTTACCTGATTCTCACCCGTTTCTGCCTCCCGATTATTGAGCCTGCCGAGCCCCTGTTGGATCTGCTTTTTGTGTCGCCTGGATCCCAGACCTGTTTCTGTGCCCTGACTTTGTTCCTGGATTCTGTTTTGGATTCCCTGGATATCTGATCACCTGGCTCTGACCCTGGACCTCCTTTGACCATGATTACCTACCAAGCATCAGTGAGAAATAACTCTCAAGGAAATAAAGTTTCAGGAACCAAGACACCCCGCCTGTTTATTAAAGAAGGTTAGTGGCTTTGCAGTCTGAACTTTTTATCATCCATCTCAGTCACTAACCTGTTCTCTCCCCCCCAGAGGCTCTGGTTCCCCTGATCCTGAATCACCTGCAAAGTTTCTTCAATAAACTTTTTAAAGTTATTACCCGTTGGGTTCTGGTTGTATCCGGGTCCTCAGTCTGAATTGTAACAGTTGCACTCCTCACTAGCTGGTATATAGCACACCAAACGTTATAATTTTAAAGAGGAAAGGGAGAGGACAAAAGAACCAAGAATAGAACATAATACTGTTTATGCACTGAAAACAACAGATGAAATGTTGGATTTAAACATTTTGTTTTAATCTTGTTCTCATGATAAAAGTTGTCCGTCTAGATTAATAACAGTCGGTTACTTTAAACTTTAGGAGCATTAACACCAACTGCTGAGGAGTTGAACCCATTTATCAGGGGTTGTTACCCTATTGATTAATATCTACTCTGACAGATGAAACGTCTGATGGCACCAGTGTTGAGTCACAATGTTCCATAAAAAATAGTTAAAAACTGCATTTGTTTTTTTTTTTTTTATTGAAAAAGGAATCAAATTACTTTTCACATGTTGGTACTGCTGTTACATTTCAGTCTAACACAGCGTGTTTCTACAACTCGTCTATTTAAGTAAATTGTCTGCAGTGGGAAAAGCTCATTACTGCAGGGAGCTGAGATAGAGGAGAACTGTAGGTGACGCCATGATCTGAGGAGCTGTACTGTGGGAGAGTTCAGCCTTGAACACAGACTGAGAAGAGAGATGATGGAGCAAGGACACTGGTTCAATAACAGCGTGCCTAAAGAAAAGCGCTCTGTGAATTCAAAGGCTGAATGTTCCTGTGATTTGCTCATTATGTTCAGAAACAAAGACTTCATTTTATCCGTTAGAAGCATCTGTGATCTGAAGAAGCTCCTCATATCATCTGAACACTGACTGACAGCTGGCTGCCTTAAACATGTTCTTTATCTTTACAGTGTTATACTGACTTCACCTACATGGATTACATTATTTTCCTGGGATTATACAGTCTTTTGTTCTACTAGAATATTGTGATCCCTGTGTTGTTACAATTAAAAAAATATAATTTTTTTTTAATTGCTTCAAAAAAAACAAGTGTACAGCTTCACATCAATTTTATGAAAACAAAGCTAAAAAAAAGTGTAATCACTTTAACATAAAAATACTCCTTTTATTTTTATTTAAAACCAAAATGGTAAAAATTAATACACATTATTTTACTGATTTATAACATTTTAATTTAATAAAGCTTCACCTTATATTTAAATCCTTTCATATATAGGGACTTTCTGAGTATCTAGTTTCTTTGATTGTGCAGAAACTGAGTTAGCAGCTGTCATGGTTACGGTTCTGTTTAAGTTTCATCTTGAGTTTTCATTGGTTTTATTTCTATTTTGTATTTTGTCTCTTTGTTAAAAAGTTTAAAACATCCATGTAGGCCACATTCTTCACCAAAAAAAAAAGTTCAAATCTTTATGTCTGAAGCCTGAAATTGGGATTATACTTTCGGAAGGCACGCTATTTTCAGCTCATTTACATTACATGTCTGCTATTTCAAAAAATGGACACAAAAATAAAGTAGGAAACAATGCTGATCCCGTTATAACAAATTTTTTTTTTAACCCATTTTAGACAGATCCTCTCAAAACTGTAACTACTGCATCTGGATTTATTTTGGCAACTTTATAAAGCTTTTACATTTTTCCCACTTTACTAATACACATTACAGTTACAGCTGAAAAACATATCCTTTCTATCTGCCAATCTATGTTGTATAGACAAGTATCTTTTAACCATCCATCCATCCTCTTACGCTTATCTGAGGTCGGGTAGTGGGGGTAGCAGCTTCAGCAGGGATGCCCAGACGTCTCTCTCCCCAGCCACTTGGGCCAGCTCCTCCGGGGGAACCCCAAGGCGCTCCCAGGCCAGCCAAGAAACATAGTCTGACCAGCGTGTCCTGGGTCTCCCCCTGGGCCTCCTCCAGGTGGGACGTGCCTGGAACACCTCACCAGGGAGACGTCCAGGAGGCATCCTAATCAGATGCCTGAGCCACCTCAACTGGCTCCTCTCGATGTGGAGGAGCAGCGGCTCTATTCTGAGTCCATTCTAGATGACTGAGCTCTGAATGAGTATCTTGTAATCAGAACAAAATATACGGTACATCTTATTTGCTATTCAGTGTATTGAATAGTGTGTACAGAAACGTGTGGGTAGTGTACAGTGTATTGATATGCTGCCAATAATGATACATTTAGATGAAATATTATGAAAAAAAAATTTTTTGTATGCAAGAGTAGCGATAGCATGGAAATCTGCACTTTTATTAGACTAGATTCATTTCTATTAGAAAAAGATATTTTGGAATGTTTAGAAAATTACAGGTCCAGCTGCCATATTGTCCACTAAAACCTTTATGAAACAAGTATGCTTCAACTGAGTCAGTCCAAATTTGCTGCAGTTATTGTGAAGATGCAGTTCTCTACATTCAGAGGCTTAATCGAGAGTTTCAGAGAGGGTTTTCATCATGTTTTCAGATTTGAAAAAATTTTGAGGCCTGAAAATTATGATTTTTGCTGTTTGGTCACCAATAAATCAAAAATTATGACAATAAAAATAGTGGTTCTGCTTGATAAATATTTTATCACTTTGTATCATATATATTTTTTTTACATTTCTAGCTTATACAGTAATTATACACTTGATTTAATCAGATATGTAATTTCAGGCGAACATCTCCTGTCCTGCTGGTCGGAGGAAGGATCCAA